AGATCCTCTCTGCTCTCCTAGACTTTCCTCCACAGCAGCCTGGTCCAGTGCATCCTGGCCCTGGTGTGTGCACAGCAGCCCAGTCCTGACAACAGCGGTGTCCAGGCAGGGAAGTCCTCCACATAGCCTGTGGCCAGGAGGAACCCTTCCCATGGAGGCCTCCACCACGGCTGGTGTGGGCTGCTCACCAGGTCCTTTGTGGGCTCACTGAGGTGGGGCACTTGGGCCTCAACACACACTCGCCAAGGTGACAGGTGGGGACTGCCTTTGTGGCTCTGCAGCACAGCAGCTGTCTAGCAGAGCATGCAGGTCAGGGGCAGAACCCAGCCCTGGGGCCCAGTCCTTGCACGGCACCTCCAGGGCGTGGGTAGAGGCCGTGCTCCTGTCAGTGCCCCGATTGAGGCCCTTTCCGCAGCCGTGACAGGGACCTCAGGTGCCCTTCCCAGGTGTCTGCCAGTGCATCCTCAGGCACAGCTGTCGGGAACTGAGGGCAGCACCAAAGCCCGACGTGGATCTGCTCCACCCACTCTCGCAGCCCACATGTGCACGTGGGCCTGCCGTGGATGTGTTTAGTGCTAACCATTCTTTATTGTGTGGTAAAAATATACACAAGATAAAAGCTTCAATTTATTATTTTTCAATATTGGGTACTTAACCCAGGGCCTTCTCACTGAACTACATCCCCAGCCCTTTCAACAAAGTTAATATATATATATATATATATATATATATATATATATATATATATATATATATATATATATAATCACAAACTGCCCAGCTTGGGCTTTAATCTGGAATCTTCCTGCTTCAGTCTCACGGTGCTGGGACTATAGGTGTGTACCAAAATGCCAGGCTCCATTAAACTATTTTTAAGCAGATAGCTCAAGGGCAGGAAGCACATTCCTGTTGTCCTGCACCTGTCACCTCTGTCCACCTCAGGAGCATTCTCGTCTGCCCTTTAGAACTTGTCATGGGTATGGTGGTATATGCCTGTAATCGCAGCACTCAGGACAGGAGAATGGCCAAAAGTTTAAGGCCATCCTGGGCTACACAGTGAGTTCAAGGCCAGCCTGAACTGCATCCTGAGGCCCTGTATCAAAAATAAGTAAGTAAAAGAACTTGCTGCCACTAAGCACTGAATTGTTTGCTTTCTGCAGTGCTGTGGACGCGCCCCAGGGCCCCTTGCACACTAGCAGTACTCTGCCACCAGGCCACACCCCCGGCTCAGCAGGACGGCTTTTCTCAGCTATAGGCTGGGGACGCCCCTCAGGCCACAGCCTCCCACCCTGCCCCAGCCTTGCCTTGTAGGGCAGCGGGCCACCTCCTGCCCCACTTGGCCCCGACAGCGCCCAGGCGGGCATGCACAGAGCTGGCCTTCATCTTGCAGCAGTCCCTGCCCCCCATGCCCACATACTTAGCACAAGTACCAGCAGGATAATTAAGCCAGGCCTCCTCAGCTCACAGGCTTTCTGCCCCAGCCCCAGCCTTGAGAGCAGCACCAGTGGGGCTTTCTTCTCCAGGGCTCTGGGAGGGACCCACGGGCACCGAGTGGTACAGGCAGCGTGTGGGGCCCCAGGTGGTGGGAGACTTCACTGGGTCTCCAGGAGTCAGCAGCAAAGGCTGTCCGTGGGACGGGCAAGGCAGTGCTGGGAGAGCTTGGCTGTCCAGGAGGGCAGAGGGGTCCATGCACACAGCCAGGCTGTGGGGAGGGCCGGTGCCGGCTGGCCTCGAGGCGGAGCCAACCTGCCGTGTGCACGCCCGGCCCGCACGTCAGGCCCTGAGAACAGCACAGCAGCCACAGGAAGGCACAGGTCCGGGCCGGACAACAGCCCCAGCGCCACTCACACATGTCAGGATCACCTCATTTGGGCAGAAGTCTTTGTACTGCCATTACTGAAGGATCTTGAGAGGAAGGCACACAGGGCCTGCTTCCTAAAGTGCCCTGAGCCCCTAGACTAGCACTCTGAGGGACAGAGGGGCACACAGAGGAAACAAAGGGGCATGCAGGGGTCCGAGTGCAGCAGCCACAACCAAAGGATACCAGGAGCCACTGGAAGCCAGTGCAGGCAGGCAGGCAGGCAGGCAGGACCTTTCCTGAGAGCCCCGAGAAGGGTGTGGTGCTGACACCTCGGGGCCAGCCCTGCAGAATGCTTGTGGTCTCATGCTGGATGCCTGGCTTGCTTCATGGGGGGCCTCCTCAGGTGCCCCTACAAGGGATAGGCCAGGCTGTGCACTGGACAGCGTGGGCCAGAAGCAGGGCGAGCCGAGGCTTGGCAAGTCTAGATGGGCCGCCTGTTGTCAGGGGAGAGAAGGGCAGCCCAGTGGGAGCCCGGGAGGCAGACATTACTTCCCTGAGCAGCTGTGGACCTGTGGCCATCTGCCATCAAGAGGACTCGCCCCTTGTGGCTTACACTTGTTCAGGGTGAGGGGAGGCAGTGCGGCAGGCGGCACCTCTACACACAGACGGGGTAGCCGAGGTAGACCAGCAGTGGCTGGGAGCACACACTGCACGAGGCCTTCCTCAGGAGCTGCAGGCTTGGCCTCTGGAGCCAGTGGATGGGAGACCAGGAATGAGAGCGCCAGACACAGGGGAGCCCCGGGCTGGAAGCGGGGCACTCAGGAGCCCTATGACTCCAGGAGCTCGGGCCTCCATCCTCAGATCTGTTCCCAGATTGCAGCTCATGACAGATGCCCACAGAGCCACCAGAGGGTAATTGTGACAATGGAGAAGAGGCACCCCACGTGGGCAGGTGACCCCACGCTGGCCAGGACACCCCTGGGGGGCCACCTGGGTCTGCTGGCCCTGCAGCAAGCCCAGAACCTGGAAGGAGACACAGGCAAGGAGCTGGGGGCACACCTGGAACATGGCACCAGGGGGTGGGCGGACACTGGGAGACACGGTATCAGGAGGCACGGGGAAAGGAGGACACAGACTCCATTCCCGACATGACCCTCGCGGCCCCCGGGTGCGCATGGCAAGGCCCGCTACTGCTGGGCAACCTAGCGCTGCTCATCTCATGGCATCTAGTGCCAGCCACGGGCAGCTGTTCACTCCACGAGTGCCTGCCTGCGCCACCTTGGGGGCAGCTCCTCCATAGCTCCTGGAATACAGCAAGCACCTGCCGAAGCCCTGCTGCATGAACGCTGCTTCTGCCCCACAGCACACCTGGGCCCTCTTGTGACTCTGGGCAGTGGTGGCCTCAGGAGTGGAGATGCGCAGATGGCCACTGTTGGAAGGGTGGGGGAGAAGGTGGATGACAGAGCCTGGAGCAAGGGGAAGGGGCCAGGTATGCCTTGGGAGTGAAGCAGCTTTGCAGTGGCACAGCCCTGCCCTCGGGATCTGACGGCGCTCTCCACAGCACACTTTAAAGAGTGGCTCTGCCGAGACTGGCAAAACCCGTGTGCAACCAGACAGAAGTAGGGAACTTGGTGGGTAGACTGGGTCCAGAGCTACCTGTCTCCAGGCCAGAGCACCAGCAGCCAGCAGCTGTGCCACAGGGCCCCATGCTGTGGGGAGCCTCGACACTGCCTGCGAAGTCTGCCCAGTTTCAGCCCAGCGCAGGACAGCTGGGCCTGGGGACACAGCCTCCACGCTGAGGATCAGCCTCGGTCAAGGTCTCAGGCTGGGGCAGGAAGGGTGAGGGCTCCCCTCCCCGTGCATAGGGCCCAGCACAAGATGAAAGCCATGGATAATTAATGCTCTCAGGACTGGCTTGACTCGGCAAAAGCCTTTATGGTGACCTGAAAGAGAAAGCAAACAGATGCAAGACCCATCTCTGGCTTCTAGGGACAGGAGGACCTTTGAAATTATAAGGCATTAAAATCAAGCCTCTGGTGAAAGGGCCGCGTGTTCTGGTTGCAGATTTGATGTTAGATCAAAACTGAACTGCTCCTGAGAGCTCAAGTGCTGACTTACTACGTGAGGCAGCTGAACCCCAACATGCACAGGCTGTCCAGTCTGGGTGCGCCTAGCAGGGTCGCCTGTCTGGAGGCCCTGTGGGTAACTCTGGCTGGTGGCTTCCCACATGCCGATGCCACCTTCTCTGCTTCCTTCTAGCCCCGCCATTGCATCTTGAAGCCACTCAGGAGTCTGGCAGAAGCCTTGGGCTCCCTGGGGGCAGTCCAGTTGGGGAGCAAGGGGCGTGGGGCTAAGACCTGGCCTCATGGAGAGGAAGTCTCTTTCCAGGGATAGCGCCCACAGGAGTGACCACAACTCTCCTGGCCACAGCCGAGCCAGGGAAGGCGGCTGGCATTGGCCCTGCTAGGCTGTGGTGACCACCTGGCCTCGGGCGTGGGCCTCCTCCAAGCAGAGCTGAGCAGAAGTTCCGCCTGTGCCACCAGGGACACGTCTTGTGCACTCTCTTGCTGTGCCCTGCTGGGCCATGGCCACCTCTGGGGACAATGCTGACAATTCACGGCTCACCTCTCCTTTAGTTAGCAGCGCGCCTGGGCATTCTGAAGTGGAGCCAGAAGCTGCGCACGCCTGGGTCGGATATTGGGTGCATTCAGCTGTGAAGCTGAGTCTGCCCTGGTGTTTGGCTCCCACAGAGCAGAGCGTGGTGTTCTGGGAGTGACTGGGAAGGCGCTGGCCTGTACTGCTTCCCAGGAGGCTGGCAGCCCCACCCCAACACCGTGACCCTCCTGCAGAGCGGAGATCACCGCTGCCCTCTGTGGCGCGGTCGGGCCTAGGCGGACAGAGCCCCGTCACCGCGCTGCTGCGCGGGAAGCCGGGTGCTGGGTGTGCTGCTCTGCACAGCTCCCCCAGCAGTGTGTATACACAGCAGCACACACACCAGCAGCAGCAGCAGCGTGGCCTTCCTCCTAATTAGGGTGTTAATTAGCACAAACGAGTCAACCTTGGCAATCCTTGGCAATCCGCAGGGGGACTGACGGGTGTGCACCGCTCTGGGCAGTTAGTGTCGGGTGGCAGTGTTCCGCCACCCAAAAAGTCCTAGGATGGAGGGGGCACCTTTGTGGAGGGACCCCACTCTCACATATTTACAAGTTCGTTCTCTTATGCAGGCAATGCCACCGTTTCACCACGTGGTGCGCTGGGCGGCAGGCTCGAGCCCCCACTCCCAGCCACCTGCTCCAGCCAGCAAGCACTACCACCTGAGTGGCTGGCGGCCCTGCCCTAGCTCCGCCTCCACATAGGCATCGTAGAGCACTTTCAAGCGCAGCAGCAGTTGTTCCAGGTTCTCTCCAGTCAGTGCTGACAGGGCTATGACCTCCTGTCCCAGGCGGGCCTGGAGCTGGGCTTGGCTGGCTCTGGCCTGTGGCAGATCAATCTTGTTTCCAATGACCACGTGGGGTCTCTCAGACAGGCCTTCTTCGTACTTCTCTAGTTCACATTTTAAATGTTGAACCTGAGTCCACGGCTCGGGCAGTGAAAGGTCCACCACAAACAGGAGGAAGCGGCAGCGCTCGATGTGCCTGAGGAAGCGGAGCCCCAGGCCCCTGTCCCGGTGGGCGCCCTGGACGATCCCTGGGATGTCTGCCACTAGGAGACAACAGCACAGGATCACAGCTGCCCCCCACCCCACCGCCCGCCCTTAGCCTTGGGGCTGGGAGGGACACCAGGAACCCTCCCTGGCCAGATTCCTCGCCTTCTAAGATTTTCTTTTCAAGGAACACCCAACACCAAGCCATACTTCATCCTAGTGACTCAGCAGGCCAGTCCGCACCAAGGCACGTCAGCCTTCAGATTGCAAATGCTCTGAAATATTTGGGTGAGAAGCATGAAGATGTTTCAGTTGAATGAGGAATACTGAACATATTCCAGTCTTTCTGCCTCAAACATGATTCAAAAAAGGGAAAAATGGCTTCCTGTACTCTATTAATAATTTGATTACTATAGAAATTATTACAGAGCTCTTTGCAAACATAAAGTGCTATACAAATAACCTTGCCAGCAGGCTTACTATTTTTAATGGGTACATTATATGCTGGAAAGAAAGTTTTCTTGTCTCAAAACGGTACAGAGAAAGCTTTTAAAATCACGTGCTGTCTACATGACTGATGCTGCCGAGTTCCCATCGATGAGGCGGCGAGGAGAGGAGGAGCCCTCTCCTCAGGCTGGAAACTTAAGTTCACATCTCTGAATGGGTGGGAGCCTAATTTTGACACAGAACAGACTCGCTCAAATTCTTCAATTAGGAAAAACAATGTAACAATTAAAGCAAGGAAGCTAAATTTAGGAGTTACATAACCACTTCCCGCTCACTGGCTTGGCTGAACCCACCTGCTAGCTGCTGGTGGCCGGCGTAGTGAACAATCCCCACATGAGGCTTCAGGGTGGTGAATGGGTACGAAGCCACGGCAGGTTTGGCATTTGAAATGGCTCTGAGGAGCGAGGACTTCCCCGCATTGGGGAACCCCACCTGGAAGAACAGGCAGAGGAGGCCACTGACCCTACAGAGGACTTTGCCACTGCAATCCAAGGTGGGCAGAGGTGGGGGTGCAGGCTGGGGTCACTGAGAGCTCCCGAGGCAGCAGGGCCCTGGTGGCGTGGGCTGGGCTGTCCCAGAGCACACCCCGACACAGTGGACCTACCATGCCAGCATGGGCCACGGTCTTGAGCTCCAGGTGGAGTACTCGCTCCTGCCCCGGCTCTCCTGGGGTGCAAGTCACGGGGGCGCGGTTGTCATTGGCCAGGAAAAAGCGGTTGCCCTTTCCTCCTGCGCCCCCCAGGGCAGCGATGTACTCATCACCTGGGCAGCTCAGGTCAGCCACGATTTCACTTCCCTCCTTCACCAAGGTGCCCACAGGGACCTGAAAGGCAGCACAGCGTTGTAGTTATGCGGGGGACCCCGCTACACCCTCCCTTCATGGCCACCAGGCATGAGGAGAGGACCCGGTGATCGAGGGGATGGTTTCAGGAGGCTAGACACACCCTTAAACTCCATGTGGCCATGGAGGCAAGACCTCTTGGGACCCTGGGCCCAGGCCTCGCTTCCAAGGCAGTCCTATCACGATCTACGGGGCAGATACATACGCAATACGGCACCAGCATGAAGGGCCCTGCTTGGGGTTTTTCCAGGGGCAGAACCACTCTCCGATGCACCAACCCCAGGGACTCTGGCTTACCCGGATGTAGAGGACAGCACCACCTCGTCCGGAGCAGTTTTTCCTGCCTCCATCTTCTCCACTGTAGCCCTGATACTGGGACAGGACTGATGATAGGGACTTGACTTGTTGATCAACTAGAGTAAGAGCAAGAACCTTTGTGTTAAGACAGAACCAGCACCACAGTTAATATTCCTTTGTCCAGTTTAAGAGCCTTAAAAGCTGAGTGTAGTGGCACACGGCTGTAATCTCATCACTCTGGGAGGCTGAGGCAGGAAGACTAAAGGTTTAGGCTCAGCCTGGGCAACTGAAGGAGAACCTGTCTCAGAACTTAAAAAAAAAAAAAAAGTCTGGGAGATACAGCTCCGTACAAAGAACCCGGGTTCAATCCCCAGAAAAACCTCCCCCTTGAGAACAACAACAGAAACAAAAGCACAACAGAATGGACACAGACAATGAGACTGCAGCGAGGGTTAGACTAGCAGCATTATTCTCGCAAAGCCAGGTTTCTACCTTCCCTCAAAAACAGTGCCAATTCTGGAAAACGCTGAAGTTAATCCTAATGCAATCATCAACTAAAAAAAAGCTGTCCTTCACTTTCTGCGACCGTGTGTGCTCCTGGCCTAACCACACACGCTAAACGCGTGCTGCAGACAGCCAACGCTCTGTTCAGCGCTGACCGAGACAGTGGCGTAGGTTTTGCCCTTTGCCGTGCGTCTCCACGTTAGATTGTGGAGGAAACTACCTTTGTGTTCCTGACATTAAAAATAAACTCCATGGGGCTGGGGAGATAGCTCAGCTGAACAAGGCAAGCGCAAGGGCCTGAGTTCAATCCCTGGTTCCGCAAAACAAACAAACACCTCCAAAAGCCTATTGAAAATTGCTGTCTTCACATAATTTCTAAGAATGCTATCTATACATCCCAGTTTCTAACACAGAAGGATGTAGACTAAGGTGGCAGAGATGTCTGGGGGGCTCCCCAGGGCTCCTGGGCCACGTGCCTTTCAGGATGACGTGGCCGCCACTACCACCGTCCCCACCATCCGGACCCCCGAACTCCTTTCGGGGCTCGCTGTGGAAGCAGCTCATGCCGGAGCCTCCGCTTCCTCCACGGACGAGCACTCTCCGATGGTCCACAAAGTGCTTTTTCTACAGAGAACACAGGGCAAGTGTTAGCAACACCCCAAAATCCTTCCCAGGAGTCTGAAACACAGTATGCCTGAACAGATTAAGGCTAATTACTCATCTCTCCTCAGAGCTAAAGATAAAGTCGGTTCCCACAGTCACGAGAGCTCGCAAGCTGCAGTGCATCAATGCAGATGTAAAGTGGACAGCCGGGAGAGCACCCCCAATTACGATGTGTCGCATCCACGGTCCAGGTACCGATTCCCCTTGGAAATGTAGCTGCTATGCACTGCAAGCATGGACTAATAGAAAAAGCAAAAACAAAAACAAAAAAGGCTGCCTTTTTTGTTTTTGTATGTTTGAGACAGGGCTTCCACTGTGGCTCAGGCTAGCCTCCAGCTCACTGCACAGCCTAGGCCGGCCTTGAACTCAGGGCAATTCTCTCGCCTCAGCCTCCCAAGTGCAGGGATTAGAGGTGCTTGCCCCCAGACCCGGCAGAAGGGTTCCTTTTAAAAGAGTGAACTTGGGCCAGGGAGACAGTTCAGTGGCATAATAATCGCCTGCCTAAGTGCAAGGTCCCAAGTTTGATCCCTGGTACTGGAAAAAAAAAAAAAAAAAAGTAAACTTCATGGTATATATATATATGACTTTAATTAAAGCTATTCCATTAAAAAAAGAAACCACACTCCAAAAAGAAAACAAAGTGTCTCTCTAGCTCCTCTCAAGCACGGAACTGTACCAAGAGGTCTTCGCTATGGGAAATTCTAGCTCAGCAGGATTCAACCATGCAACCGGGAGAGGTAGAAAGTGCTTCCTGGACAAATCCAGGTGGCTTTTTTTTTTTTGAGAAGGGCCTCACCACACAGTTCAGGCTGGCCTTGTGCTCACTTCTGTAGCACCCAAGCTGATCTCAAACTCACAGTGATCCTCTGTGGCCGGCACAGCCTGCCGATCTGGGTATCGAACTCAGGACCTTGTGCTTGCCAGGTAGGTGCTTATGCCTCTGAGCTATCTCTGCAGCCCAAATCCCAGGGTTTTTTGTTTTTTGGCTTTTTTTGTATTTAGTACAGGGTCTACAGGGTCTCACTATGTAGATCAGACTCGGAGTGATTCTCCTGTTTTCAGCCTCCCAAGTGCTGGGATTACAGGCGCACACCACCACGCCCAGTCTCAATCACCTTCTCAGTGTACCCCAGGGGCGGGGCCAGCCCTGCATGCCTGGCATTGAACCTCGGCTGCTGTGCTCTGCCTACGCAGGCGCTTAGGTCTGCTGAGCTATCTGGCTGGTTCAAATCCCAGGTTTTTATGAAGGAACCTTTCCGTGTCCTGCCTACACAAGGGCCTGTCTGTACCACACAGGGATACACAGCATGCCTCTGAGACAAGGCTTCTACTCAGGCCCCTACCTCAGCTAAAGAATAAGAGTAAGCAGCTGACTAGGTCAGTGCTCCACACGCGTGAACCCATCCCGCAACGGCAGCTACCCAGCGGCAGCGCAGGCAGCCGTCCGCAGGCCCGTGTGGGTGGACGGCCTCCCACAGTCCTTGTCAGGACGGCGGAGATGCAACTGCCATCTAATAGCTGTAACAGAGTTTTCAAAAGAAAATACAAAAATATTTTAGGATTCTTCGGTACCACCACGTGGAAAAACCACGTACTACCACTTCAGTTTCACTACAGTGCAGCAAAACCTGATCCACCCAATGGGAAAAAGCACAAAGGCAGGCAGCATACGGAAATAAAACGAGACCTGCATGCTGGCTGCCTGGCCCCCAGGGGAAGTACAAATGACGACGAGTGCACTTTCTTGAACCTAGTCAGCGGCCATTCAAGTTTTAAACAGAAGGCTCTGGTGAACACAACCAGAATCCTGTAAAGCTGTAACGTCAGAGGTCTATGCTGCCCCCAGCCAGAGGCTCTGAACGAGGGACTGTGCACCCACATTAAGGAACGTACAAAGCGAGGTCCCTCCCGCAGGTTAATGACAAGTGACCATCCCTGCCCTAGCCCTGCTCAGACAACATGGGACTGCCTGGGCCTCCCTGGCTGCTGCTGGCAATGGCAGGAAGCCCCTGTAAGAAGCTGTGGCCCTTGAGCAATGCCAGTAGGGTGAGCAAAGAGCAGATGAGCCGAAGGCCTCGATGCAGCATGCCGCTGCCTCCAGGGCTGAGGATCTTACCAGTTTCTTCTCAGAGAGTGGCTTCTTTCCAGAGGGCTCTCGATGCTTGGCGTGGTCCCCACGGCCCATGGAGAGTGGCCTGGGGCGAGCCTGCTGTAGAAGGAACCCTCGAGTCGCTCCCTGCAGCATGGTCCAAGGTCTTGCTGAGGTAAGCCGTACAGGGATCATGGCCCCTAACAAATGTCAGAAGGGCAAGTGAGGTGCCTGGGCTAAGCCCGAGCATCAGACCAAAGCTGCAGCACAAGGTCTGGCACGCGCTAGTGTCTGGGCGCACACCCTAGAGCAGGCAGCTGCTGCCGCATGGAGTCTGACATGCTAGCATCTGGGGGCATACCCTAGAGCAGGCAGCTGAGGAATCCAACCTTCTCCACCCTGAGGCACAGACTGCCCTCTGGCAGCAATCAGTATATGTAGGACTTGGGGCAAAACCTGCTTTTATGTTTATTTTTAAAAATTTCTGGGGCTGGTGAGATGGCTCAGTGGTCTAAAGCACCTACTTAGAACAAGCTAAGCAAAAACGCAGTGACCGCGGTTCAATCCCCAGCACCACATGCCAGCCAGCCCTGCCCCCTGGTGGGCTGAGCTGGCCACACACACATACACACTAAATAAATAAATAAATAAATTTTAAAAATTTCTATTTATTTATTTGGTACATGGTCTTGCTATGCAGCTCACACTGGTAGTGGTCCTCCTGTCTCAGCCTCCCCAGCGCTGGGATTATAGGGGTGCACCACCATACCCCATTTTGGTAACCAGCACTGTGTACCTGGGATTTGGGGGCGTGGCACGTGGTACTGGGGATCAAACCCAGGCCCTTGTGCTTGCCGGGCAGACACTTAGACTGCTGAGCTATCTCGCCATCCCCTTTGTTTACTTCTTGAGACAGGGTCTTGCTCTGTAGTTCCGGCTGGCCTAGAACTTGGTACGCAGCTCAGGTTGGCCACAAGGTTGTGTTGATCTTCCCGCCTTGGGCTCCTGAGTGCTGGGATTACGGGATGTGTGCTGGGCGGGTTCTGTGTACGAAGGATTTAAGCCATTCCATCTCCAGTAGCACTACGTGCACCTCTGGGGGAATATCAAGAATCTGCTCAGTGAAAACAGTAAAGGCAATCTAAACCTCAAATCTAAACTTCTTCAAAGCGCAAGCGCCCATCTGTTCCAATGGTACTGTGTCACCTTGCACGGCCCATAACGCGCCAACTGCAACATGGAAATATTAAACGCGGAGCATGGCAGCTGAGTACCCCGGCACTGAGACAAACTCACTCTCCCTGGTTGTCACAGGGTGACCCAGGGAGGGCTTGCCTCGCTGCTTCAGCCTCCTCACTCAGAGGTGGCAGAGGACGAGCAAGCAGAGCCAACTCTGATGGACACAGCAGTGGTGGGGCTGCCACTCGGCCCTCATCCTGGCAGACCATGAGCAGCAGCTGCCTGGTCTCTGCCCCTGGTTCCCTGCGCCAAGCTCACAAACCTTTGTAATTTCCTGAGAGATGAGAGCGATAGAAGTGTCTGACCCACAGCCACCAATGTCCCTGGACTTTCCTGAGTGACAAGAGAGACTCTGGCTCTAATGAGGTGACTTATGGCAGTTCCTGCACAGCTTTTGGGTGGGGCTGGCCACCAGGAAGAACAGGGCAAGAAATCTACAATTTTTACCACCCTGTCTTCTAGGAGACAGGCCTGGAGACAAAACCCAGGATTGGCGGTACCCAGTTGATGAGGTCTCTGCAAAACCCTGGGGCTGGCGACCACGCCCTGTGCACAGAGGTGCCCGAGACCGCTGCCCGGCTGTTCTCGGCAGCCTCTGCAGTGCGCTCTGCAGCGCGCTCTGCAGCACACCAGTGACGTTTGCCAGAAGCATGGGGCCCTGGGGCCTGCTCCTTGCTGCTGCACCTGAGCTGAAGACGACTTTTCAGGACTGAGCACTTGGCCTGTGGGACGGCAGTCAACAGCCACCGTCAGATCTGCCCTGAACTGTGGACAGCTCCACGAGAGGTGGCAGAGGCGCACTGCAGGTGCGCACAGACGGCAGCAGCAGCAGCAGCAGCAGCAGGGCCAGCCCAGGGGCAGGTCTCGCTCAGCTACTCTTGGCAGCATGCATCTTCTGGTGAGGCGAGGAAGACGCTGGTCCTGCCTGCCAGGAGAGGATGTGCCCTGCCACTGGCATGCCCCGAGGGCCCCTTCTGGAAGCTCTGTGCAGGAAATCCATGCAGCGCTCCCCATTTCTCAGCAGGCCATGTACGTACAGCAGGAGGCTACACATCTTATGTACCATTTAGAAAATCGCCACAGTCAGTACAGGTGAACACACAGGAGAGGACAGGGTCTGCATTCCCAGCAGTCTCTGCTGGGTGCCACCCTCTGTGCACACCCTTGGCTCTCTCGGGAGGGAATGCTGTCATCTCCTTGCTGTTCCACAGCGTCCCACAGTGCTGCTTGCAGCAGGAAGCATGCACAGTCTCTGAGATGGCGGAAGAAAAGCATGCTGAACACTGCCGCCGGACACGCCCTGTCCTCCAGGGCGAGGGCCCCCTACTGAAAAGGCCCCGCACAGCAGCCCGAGCCACCAGGCTTCCTCTGACCGCCCATGTGCAGCCACGGTCCCAGAGCGTCCGAGCCCACGGCCGATCATGGGCTTCTTCTGTCTCCCTCACAGGAACACCGCTCCGACACTCCCTGACCCAGCACCCTGACACCTGGGGGGCTACGGGGCAGCTGTCTATGGGACACCTCCATTCTGGCCTGACCCAGGGCTCCATCCAGACAAGTTGTGCTGCCGTCCTGCCACCTCCAGCAGACGGGCTGTCCCTGAGATGTGGTCTGAGTGCTGGCCCGGGGGCGGCCTGGCATCTTGTAGTAAGATATCTGGAAGGGAGGCATAGGAATCTGTGTGCGGCTGGGTGTGGTGGCACACACCTGTAATCCCAGCTCTCAGGAGGACGAGGCAGGAGGCTGCTGTGAGGCCAGCCTGCGCTACAAAGTGAGTCCAAGGTCATTCTGAACTACACAGTGGAAACCCTGTGCCAGAAAGACAAAAAGTAACAAAAGGAACCGTGAGCGAGCGCTGTTTCTCCTGCTCCTCCCTAAACCACCCCATGCACTCGTGTGTTCCAGGGCGGCTGTGGACTGCACCCTCACTGTCATTTACTCAGGGTCAGAGTGTTCCTCATCTGGCCAGCAATCTGAGCACCTTCTTCCCACTTCTGGAGCAGGTGCCTGAGACCTCACGCCCCGCCCTGCCCTGTCGGGAGTTCCCCGCACCCACCCAGAGCCAGACTCCTCGTAGCAGAGAGTGGCGCTTGGAATCTGAATCTCACTGCTGGGCCTGCCTGTGGCTGTGCAGGAGGGCCTGTTCCCAGCGTGGCTGGCGGCCAGGGCTGGAAGCACATGCACATTTACACGCAGGGGCAGCTGGACCCCTCTGCACTCAGGCAGAGCAACTCCCGCCAAAGCCCAGGGTCCAACTCGGTAGACACCACTCCCAGGCTCTCCCCCAGCCTTGGCACCCCGGCTCCACTTCCTCCTCGCCCCTGCCAGGCCTCAACCTAAGCCCCGATCCTGCACACAGGCACACTCCTCTACCCGACCGCGCTGCTCCCTGCTCCAGGCTGCACAAAGTTTTGGCTTTACAGCTGCTGAGAAGTGGCAGAGCCATTTGCATATTCCTCTTATGCTGTGCTCTTACAAACTCAACACGCTCTAAACATTTTTATCAGTGAGCATGTGCAGCACACAGCGCTTACGCCGGCTGCGGGGGCGGGCGAGTGAGCTGCGCACCTGGCCCCTCCTCTCACCCTCCCTCCCCTCCATCCTCTTCTGTCCCCCTCCCTCCATCTTTTCATGCCCTTCTCATGTGAGAAAGTGCTCTGCTCCCTGCTGTTCCTTATTTTGCTCTTTATTTACAATTTTGCTCTTTATTTACAATTTTCATATAAACAATTTATATGAAATGGACACACACCTTTAAAGATGCGATTAGTCAAATAAACTCAAGAAAAGCCAACTGGCTGGCATGGAGGCACATGGCGATAATCCAGCACTTGGGAGACTGATGCAGGAGGATTCCCATGAGTTTGAGGCCAGCTGGGACTACATAGTGAGTTCAAGGCCAATCTGAACAACATAAAGAGACCCTGTCTCAGAAAACCAAAAAGACAGCCCCAAAAAGAATAAACCAACAACCTAGTATCTACTAACAAAATTGGATTTGCTAGAAAAGAACATTCTCAAAACAAAATTCCAGACTCAGTTTGTTTTCTTGGTAAATTCTATCAAATATCTTTAAAAAGCACTGTTATACTTTTTAAGAAAATGGGTAACATCACTATCCAATTCAACTTTTAAGGCCACTGTAACCCCACCATAAACCTGACTTCACAAAAACTACAGCCTACAGACATGTATTCTTCACGACTGCAGACACCAAAGTCCTCTGACAAATATCGCTCGACCAAACCCAGCGCACAGCCAGGATTCGACGCCAAGCCCTGCAGACATCCTAGGGATGCCCAGCTACTGCAGCAGTCAGAAGCAGCCAGAAACCCGAACCGCACCAAATGACCCTGTGACCACACAGGACACAGGGAAAATAAAGCGCATTAGCAACGGGAAGAGGGACCCTGACACCCTGGTAAAGGGTGTGCGCTAGGGCCCACGGCTCACACCACACTGGACAGAGTCAGAGCGTTGCCCCACACTTAGAGAAAGGCTGTGGTGCCCATGTTCAGCACTTGTATGCAATCTGGTCCTTTTAGACACTGCAATAATGGAAAGGAAAAGGGAGGAAGAACAGCGTCCCTATCTGCAGAGAAGATAAAGGATTCCACAGCAGACCCCAGGGAAATCTACAGCAACAATCAGAATAAATTGGACAAGGTTGCAGGTTACAAAGTAAAATTTTTTAAATCAATTGTATTCTTTTTTGTGGCTGCCTCAGTGCAGTATGTGGTGCCAGGGATCGAACTGCGGTCCTTGCGTTGGCCTAAGCAGGTGGCTTTAGACCCCTGAGCTATCTCACCAGCTCTGACTGTATTCTTATATACTGGCAGCAAACAATTAGAAATTAAAAGAAACTGATTTCACTCACAGGCATACTAAACACAAAAAACACCTAGACATAAACTTAATAAACATTCAAGCCCTCTACCTCCCTACTCCCAAAATATCATTTTAAGTGTTTTTCAGGCATTAAGTCACTTAGTTCTTACAAAAACTCTTATGAAAAAAGTAAATACGGGGGCCAGGGATATAGTTTAGTGGCATAAGTGCCTGCCTGGCGAGTGCAAGGTTCCAAGTTCAATCCTTAGTACAAAACAAAACAAAACAAAACAAAACAAAAAAAAGTGAAGGCTTCAATGAGAAGGAGGCAAAGGAGTGGGTGACTTAGCAGGTCGCAGAGCTGTTGGAGGACGGGGGCGGAGTGTGAGAATAGGTGGTAAAGGGAAAAGGCCTCACAGCTCCACAGCAGCACTCAGCAGCGCCGCCTGAGGGCACGTGGCATGCGTCCCGGACAGGCGGAGCGCAGGCCTCCCCAGCCCACGCCGTGGAGAGCGGGCGATCCACCGCAAGGCCGCCCAGGCGCCGACCTCCCCGGGCGTGCTTCCTCCTTTCTGCCCTCCCGATCGGTGCGGGGGCGCACTGCAAAACCCGGCTCTCCCCTGGCACGCGACGAACTCGGCACTGTTCTCCACTACTGTTTCATGGCCTTTATTCTCCTGACGAGGCTATTCTCGCATTGTGTGATCGCCAGCCACAGGGGGCTGTCACACGTAACCGACACGAAATAAGCCCCGAAGGCTCAGTTGGCCGGCCCCCGGCCTCACCGCGGCCTGCGGAGCTGGAGCAGCGGGGACGCGGAGTCCCACCATCACACGGCCGGCGGCCCGCCCTGCCCCGCAGCAGCCACGTGCTGGGCACGGACCGGGTGCCAGCAGACCAGGCTCCGCAGCCTGCCAGCGGGGGCGCGCTAGCCGCGGCGAGGTCCGCGGGGCCAGGCAAGCAAGCGGCCGCGGGCGGCGAGGCCACCGACAGCACTGCCAGGAGCCCCTTTGCGGCGTCTGCACAGGCTTAAGCGCATGGCTCACGGCAACGCGTCTCCGTCTACTGCGCCCCCGGGCGCGGGGCCGCTTGCTCCAGGCCGGAGGCCCGCACGCCTGGGCCGCGGCCGCGGCTCCCTGCCGGTCTGTCCCCCATCGGTCGCTAACGGGGAGCTGAGTCCGGGGGCGGTCGCTCTCCGCGCCGCAGCGTCCTCCGGCCAAGCGTCCGCGCCGGGCGGGCAAGCCCCGACTGCCCGCCGGGGCACGAGTCCCGGCCTCGCTCGTCCCCGCGCCTCCGACGGGCGCCTGGGCGCGCGCGGGCTCCGCACTGCGCCGCAGCTCCACTTCCGTGGTTCTTAGAAAAACAGCGGCTCGCCACATGGCCCGAGCTGGACTCGAACTCGGGACCACCCTGCCTCAACCTCCCGAGGCGGGGGCCGGGGTGCGGGCCGCCGTGCGGCCGGCGCCTCGTGTCGGGGAGCGCCCTTCACCGGGACGAACGTGCGCGTGGTGGGGCTCAGACCTCCCCGCCCAAAGGCCGCACTGTCCACCGACAGCGCCGAGGTGCGTCCCTCCGTCCTCGCGGAAGATCCGCGCGGCCCGAGCCCGCGGCGAGGCGGAAGAGCCGGGCCGGCCGCTCCGCAGGGGAGACACACCAGCCGGGCGCA